TCCATGCCCTCTTTCTAATCCCTTCTTTCTTCTCGCTCTTTCTAACGTCTGTAAACTCATAACACATTCACAATATTTCTAGTGTTTTTTGTGTGGATGTACACTCAATGTTTAATTTTCCCCCAATTTCTTCCGTAATTTGGTTTGAATCTTTATGATATTTTCAAGGTCTATTTCATTTTGTTTTAATTTCGTGCTGATGAGTTTCTTGAATCTTCATGCTATTTTAAAGATCTATAAAATGTTCCAAATTTTTTTCAATTTTTTTCGTCTTTTTATTTAAATTTTATGTGAAGAATAATATGAGGAGAAAGAAAATATGAAGAAAGTCGGCACCGATAAGAATAAATTCCGACGATCATTCGCCGGATCTCTACAAAGAGGCGAAAGTGATACTCCTTGGGTTTTGCCTCTTTTTCTTGCATTTATGTCGATTTTTTTTTGTTTGTTTGATGATTTAGGGTTTATGTTAGTTACAGATCTTAAATTTCGTCATAAAATTGTGACATTTTTTTATGTTTAATTTCTTGATGATTTTGAGTATAGAATTAGTTGTTGGTTGATGATTTAATCTCTCTTGGTTGATGAATTGTGTAATTTTGGTGGTAATTTTGTTGTGAATAAAGGATTAATTGTTGCGGTATTGAAATTTAAGCTTGTGTTGCTGATTTAATTTGAATTTTGTTTTCTTTAGTTGGTTTTTTTTTTTTTTTTTGTATTTTATTGTAGAAGTTACCAAGTATGAGATCATGGTGTTTAAAGAAGACTAAGAAATGCATGTCAATTTTTTAAAAAGATTCTGTAATAATTGTTTCATTTAATTATTCTGGAGAATTAACCATTCTATTTTTTTTATGTTTTTTTTTTTTTTTTTTTTTTTTGTGTGTGTTTTTGCATTTGAGGTTGTAGGTAAAGATCTACAAGTTTCAAGTTTAAAGTGAAGAAATTTGTAATCGAAGAACTTAGAAGCTTGAAGTTATCTTTTAAAGAGTTTCTTTATTATTGTATTTCGTGTATAGGATTTTCAATGATATTTAATACTTCGTATTAATAATATGTTTGTAATTTGAGGTGTATGAAATTTTAAGAATTATTTTGTACGTATTATTTCAAAATTTAAAAATTGAAATTGAAATTTAAATGCAATTGAAGTTACATTGATGAATTAAATAATTTTTTTTATTATAAATGAGGCCAAAGAGACCCGTTAGGTTAATAAGCGGTCTCATTTTTTGCTGAAAAAGAGAATGCCTTTCTTAATAGGCGGCTCAGTTTTCTGGAAAATGAGACTGCCTGTCTAATATAGGCGGTCTCAGTGTTCTAAAAAATAAGACTGTCTATCTTAGATAGGCTGTCTCGGTTTTTTAATTCTAGAGACTGCCTCTAATAAAGCATTCTCTTTGCCAAAGAGATCACTGAGCTAGAGACCGCCCCTAAAGCAGTCTCTTTGGCCTATTTGGACGGGTCTCTTTAGCCAATTCTGTAGTAGTGGGACTAGCATGTAAGATTGATTGGATAGCGTAGTTTCATGGGCTATAGGGGCAAAGTGATGCTCGGTCGATCACTTGGATATGCATGAATGATGCATGATCGAACTTGTTTCGGGGTTTTCTGATGTCCTGCGGGAGAGTTACAATTCCGAGACTGGAACCGGACGCCTGTACCTGCAAAATAACGGAGACTCCTGAGAGCTCCGCCTCCAACGGTCAAGTTAGTACCTGATTAAGGAGTAATTAATACGGAAATTAAAGTAATAAGACCTCTCTAGGTGAGAGTGTTTAATGTTGGTAATCTGCTTTGTTAGCGAGATTAGCCGGTTATTAGTGTTCCGTGATGTTTCTGTTCCGTTCTTCAGGTGAGATTAGTTGCTTGATCAATTGCTCTCTCAATTGCCTGATGTTTTCTTGATTTCTTGATTTCTTGATCTCTTTTATGAGGATTAATTAAGTATTTATAGTCTTGAGAAGCGTGCCACTCTCTAGGTTTAGGGTAAACCTAGGGCTGACCGGGCCTCTAGACAGGATTGGGCCTTGTTGGCCGGTTTTCCCATTTGGCATGGGTGGACACGTGGCGTGCCTCGATTAGTCCGTAGAGGACGTATCTGTGATTGACACGTGGCAGGCTCCTATTGGCCTACGTGAAGGACACGTGGCGGAACCTGGTTGGTCCACTTGTCAGACGGTGATTGGAGGATAAAAATCCCCTAATCAGAACTTATGACCTACCTTGATTGCATTGACATGAGTAGAACATTGATTTCATTCAATGGATGTTATGACTGTGGTACATTCAAACGTCTGCCCGTAACTGGAGATTATAAAGGGTGTTTCCTGATTATTTCAAAAGTTGAGTGGGAGCCTTGTTGCCACAAGATTGGATTGAGTCTACTTATTAAATTAGAAAATGTGTCATGGCCGCTTGAAGAGGGGGAATTCAGAAAATACGTGGCCGCGTTCAAATGCATTACTCAGTAATCATTTGGTTTTGTAATTCTAACGCAGATTTCAAGAAACGATTTGTAGATTAATATGATCTCGACATGTGATGCAATCATATTATCAAATCGACACGTATTGACTTAAGAAATTTGAATATTGCACACTTGTCTCAGACAAGTAAGAGATTGAAGGAATTATGTCTTCGTCGTGTGCAATTACTAGATATATAAATGGATTAAATTATGAAGATAATTAATTTCGGACTTTTGGGTCGTCGTTTTATCATAGCTAAAGGTACTAACGATCTTTGGACTAGTAAAATAGTCCAAAGCCCAAATTGGACGGATCATATAAGGTCACACAGAGGGCCTAGATCGAACACGATAGGACGAGGCCCATGATGGGCCTCATCCCCTAGTATGGTCGGCCATGAGGAGTAAGGTTGAGGGTTTTGGGCTTCCTAACCCTAGTCTGATTATAATGTGATTATAAACAGACTAGGTGCCTAGGGTTTGCAGTATGCAATTAACTGATCAGTGAGATCAAACCCGAATTAGCAAACACGAGACTAACCCTTCTCAAACTCTCCTCTCTCTCACGGCACTCTCTCTCCTCCTCGGCGCCGGTTGTGGTGGTGGTGGATCATGGTGGTCGGCTTAGTCCATTAAAGGTGGTGATTGCGATTTTCCTCTCTCACTCAACCAATCTAATATTGGTGGACGGCTCGTTCGAAGTTCGTGGACTAAGTAGAGGAGCAACGCTTGGGGCTCTATTCTTTCCTTGATTAGTCATCAAATTGCTACGTGGAATTCATGCTTCAAAGGTATAATTATGTGTCTTGAGTGTTATGCATGTTATCTTGGGATTAGGTGCTTAATTGCATATGATTCATGATTTTCCGCTGCGTACTACCTATAAACTCCTACACTACCCATTTTACTTTTCCGGCAACAAAATCCGGCAAGTGTGGCCGAATTTTATTTTTTTCTCCAAAACTTAAGCCTAAACCACGTACATAACAACCAGTCTAGCTAATCTCCTTTACAACATCTCATTGATAGAGGAATAAACGTGTCGTCAATTGTCTATCCCTAGATCAAACACAATTTATAACAACCTAAACAAACCTAATACGAGTATAACGCAAGTATAGGGTCGAACCCAAAGGAGTGAGTCGGTATTAACTTTAGCCTAAATCAAGCTACTTCGAAGATTGTAGTGAGAAAATTGTTGGTACTATGGTAACAAAGCTAGATTGATCAAGTAATTCAAGAAACTAAACACTAGGGATGAAGGTTCCACATGCAAGTTCAATAATCATGCTAATTGATAGTTCATTCAATTGATTCAAGCATTGCAAAGGACAAACAATAGTAGCAATCAAAAGAATTCAAAAGCTATCTCCTAGAGGCCAAGCTAGGGGTCACTATGAATGGCTAATCAAGGAAAATCACAATCAAACTGAATCCATTAAAACAATTCTCAAACTTTTATCGAAAATAAAACTCTAAACTAACTTTTTATCTTATAAAATATATCCAGTTTTTTATCCTACATGTCAAACTAATATTAATTGTTGCCTACGTATCGCGACACTGGCGAAAAGTTAGAATGCCAAGTGTCGATTTCTTGTGACCTGGCTAAAAGTTTAGCTGTATATATTAGTTATATGATACTCATTCTGCCCCCACCTTATAGTTAATGTTTTCCAATTTTAAATAACCAAAATATTGTTTCGATTTCATTTCTTTCTAATTTATAATATATAAAAGAGACCATTATTCCCTCATGTTTTAACTTTATATGTCGAAGTTTGTTGACCTTGATTGATTTTAGTGACGACAAGCAAACTCGATTTGATAAAATTGTATTCAGAGTACTAGTACATAATTAACCTTAAGTAACACCCTAAAAGTGTTACACAAAGTGGTAAAAGTGTTATTATAGACAATAGGTAACACTTTATTAGGTGATACATCCGCCCTTGTTACCTAAGGTCTTATGAACACTTTGGGTAACATTAGATAACACTTTTAAAAGTGTTATTATAAACCCTTTTATGTATCACTTTTAACATTATTGGTATCATTTCTAAAGTGTTACTATTTATTTTTTATGTAACACTTACTTATCTTTAGTAACATTTTTCAATCATATAGTATCACTTTATCCGACATTATGTATCACTTTTTCGAACTAATGTAACACTTTGTTGATTATTAGGTAACATTTTCCAATCATGTTTTGACATATAGTAGCACTTTATTCGACATTATGTATCACTTTTTGCAAAGTATTGTAACATTTTATAGATTAATAGGTAACATTTATTACTATTATTATTATTATTATTATTATTATTATTATTATTATTATTATTATTATTATTATTATATTTATTATTATTATTATTATATTTATTATATTTATTATTATTATTATATTTATTATTATTATTATTATTATTATTATTATTATTATTATTATTTACTATATTTTTTAAAAAATATAAGAAAACATAAATTATATGTTCAACAACTATATGAATAAGTAATCAACACATAATAAAAAACAATTTGGATTGAAATACCTTCATATTTCTCACAAAAAAATCCATAAACACCAATTTAAATGTTTGGCCAAACAATATAATAATCCAAACACAAAGAATATTAAGTTCGATCTCTAGCTTGGAAAAAGTAAGGAAAAACAAAAAACTTCCAAATTTCAAAAAAGACAACGATAACAATAAAAAAACATTAATAATAACAGCGTATAGCAGTAGCTACACAGCTAGCTAGCAGAATGACAAATGTCATCAGCAGTCTTTAGCAGCAACTAGCAGTAGCAGACAGTAGTGGAAGCTTCCAGCAATAACAGACATGAATTGGCAGCAACCAGTAGTAGTAGACATGAGTTGGCAGCAACCACAGTAGCAGAGTAGTGGAAGCAAACCAAATGAGCAAGATTAAGCAACAGAGACAACAGTAGCAGCAAAATAATAGCAAAAGAGCAGCAATACAGCTGAAAACAGTAGCAAAACAGCAACAGAGATAGCATTAGCAGCAAAATAGCTCGAAACAGCAGCAAAACAGCAGCAAAGCAGCTGAAAACAGCAGCAAAACAGCAACAGAGACAGCATTAGTAGCAAAACAGCAGCAAAATAGCTCGAAACAGCAGCAAAACAGCTCAAAACAGCAGCAAAATAGCGGTAGCAGCAGCAAAAAAGCAGTAAAAGAAAGTTCTTGTTGATCATCAATTGCTATCCCAATTCTTCATCTTCATCCATTTGATCATATGTGTGAAAGCATCATGTATCAAAAAACTAGAACAAAGATTAAATAGTTCAATAATAAGAGTTTGTGCTATTTAAAAGATTATACATTAACTTACCTCGTTTTGTTGTTGCTCATTAGAGAGTACAATGGGAATATGATCTGTAAGTTCTGGATTGGATGACACATTTTCAACTGATCGAGTCAAAGTATCCAACACTTCAGGATCAATTTGCTTGAGCGTCTTCATTAATTCTACTACAGTTTCTTTCACAATTTGGTTTTTATAGGGCTTTAAGAACTCATTGGGAATTATTGGATTGTTGCTCTTTCCCCTTAGTGAACATATCCCCGGTTGATTTTTTCTATGGCCAAAGTTATTTGGTTTATTCATTACTTCATAGTATGCAACATCTCCATCAATTTCACTTTGAATTTGTACCTCCTCCATCTTGTCCTATAATGGAAATATAACAATCAAACAACTAATTTGAGACAAATAATCATATTCAAAAAAATATGCAGACAACAGGACTTACAATGTTACTTTGGGTGGGCTCATAAGATGTTTTGTATTTCTTGTGTGCTTTCCTTTTACGACTTTCTTTGTACATGAGTGCTAAGGATGGTGGCTTTTTTTCAACATCTAGTTGTTGCTAGAATAAAAAAAACACATCCAAATAAGAATTGAATGAATATTGTTTACATGATCATAGTGAGAAAGATATAAAAGGAAGAATGGTATAAAAATATACCAATTTATGTTGTTTCCTCGCTAAAGTCATAGGACCCATGGTGTGCCTATCTTTTTTATCTATACTTATTTCCCTTTTCTTTTTGCCGTCTTCCTGCATGCATGCATAACACACGGTTCATAGTTTAACACATTTCAATTTGAGAGGGAAATAAGCAATTGTAATATAAATGGAAACAAACAACATAACTTTACCTGGACTGGTTCCAAATTCCAAATTTCTAGCAACTCTTTGAAATGTGCTTCTGGAATTGTATTAGGTGAATTTGTCAACCTATCACCATCATTTTCGTACAAAGTAAAGTGTGTTGCCTTTACACTACATTTATATCTACGCCACAACCTTCCCACGGATGACAAAACACAATCTTTACCTTTTTCCGAGATTATGCATTTCTTCTGTATTAAGTAAAATATTAAACAACAAATTAGGGAGCAAAAAATTACGTCAGCCACTTGACATATAATAGCACATAAACTAATCAAATCACACCATTAAAAAAAAGGTGCATACCTTCACGTAACTCCAAATTTGTTCCTTGTCTGGAACATAATGCCAACTAATCTTGTTCAACGGCGCTAGAGAAGAATTACGAGCTAAGGTCCCTAAGAATCTTGTAAATGTATTCATAGTCTTATCATCGAGACCAATAGGCTTTCCCATTTCATTAAGAACAATAGGCTTACGCTCCTCTAATTTCCATTCATGGACATCTTTACACATAGTTGGTCCTCTGGTTCGCTTACTTTTTGGAGGTGCTACATGAATATTAACTCAACAAAGTCATTAAAATCATATATTGCTCTTAACATATCTATATTAAAATATTTAGCACGGAATGATAGTGATCATTACCTATTTGTTCACTTTCTTGCTCTTGATTCATTAGTGGTACATCTTTCATTATTCCTAGCTCCTCAGGGGTAAGAGTACTCAAATCCTCACTAAAAGCATCTTCTTCATTGTCATATTGTTCGAAAATGCGTTCATTTGGACCCATATGATTCTCATAATCTTCCTGTAAGTCATGTCCAAATCTTTGTGGTTGTGAAAAACCTTTGTGCTTGTGAACTCCCTAAATGCCAATCTGAACTAGCCATGTTAATAGGCTTTGAACTAGTCATGTTAATAGGTCGTAGTTGTCGTCATAGTAATAAATCACTTTGTTTTGCTCTCCTCTCTTTTTCACGTAATTGTGTTTGCATTTGCCTATAAGCACTGAGTGAACCAAGGGCAACCACTGTCTTACTCTGCCATGTCTTAGTTTGGACACCATTCCCAATCTCAACCTCTTTCCCTTGCTGATTATGGACTGCTGATTTTTTCTGTGTAGTAGACTTGCCCAATTGGATTTTTCTTTGCGTTGAATCTCTCCCTTGTAACCCTTGATCTAATTGTTGTCTCTTAGTGTCTTGCAGATGCATCTTAATTTGATTAGCAATTGATACTGAAGAGACACATGTCGTGTCCTTAGTGTTTGTGGTTATCTTCCCTCTCAATGCCACAACCTGAAATTAAGTATTCACGAGAATCATTAAACAAGTATTACATGATTTTTGAACATTTATGATTCAAAAAATTAAGTTGTCAAAAAAAAAAAAATAACCACCTTCTTTGAACGAGATCTCAAGTTTACAGCGTTTTTCCTTATCTCATTTTTATCCTCTTCACTTGAGTGGTTCAGTTCACCCTCTTCATCAAGTGTATACTCGTCAGTATCTTTAGTCACCTTCTTCCTTTTTTTCGTTTGTTTCGATCCCTTCATCAACTATTTCATTTCATAAGCCATGGATGTAACCCCTAAATCCTTCATCCTGATTCTATTTTGTTCTATAGTTTTTTGTCTAAGTTTCTCATATTCTGCCATCTAAATCTTTCTTCCTACAAAGAGCACACAAGGCAGTCAGTTTAGAGGTTTGTACAATGTCTACAGAATTTGTTTAGAACATTTTTTTTTATTTATGAATTCATCTTAGTTTGAAATTCCACCAGAACAACTCAGCAGTCAGCACAAGTGACACAAAATTCAGAATTCTGATGCTAGTCAATTATATGTTTATAACGAAAAGTTGAAAGCTGATGAAAGAGGCTTACATATTTGCATTTGATCACTAAAACTCAGTTATATTTATATACTAACCTGATATTCTGATAAGTAATCCAAAAACCAACTAAAAAAAAGGTCTTAGTAAGCAAAACTTAGTTTATATTAATCCGAACCTTTCATTGCATCAACTTACATTTCTACTAAAAGACATGCTAGAATTTGCTCTGAACTCAATCAATATGCATATATAACTCAGGCTGTTAATATATCAATGCCATTAAAAACAGGTTGTATTTTTCTCCAAACTTGATTAAAATGTCATTTGAAACAAGAATTAGGAAGTTGCCACATTAATTTCACCACAAAGGCATGAAGTATTTCAAAATTTTACACTAGAAGCAAAATACCATACTACATTGAGGCAACAAGTAAAATAATCTGCAAAGTTAAGCTTTTTTTATTTATTACAATGTACCATCAGGAAAAAGGGCAGACCAGTGAGCTCCAACCCAAGTGTAAGCTCCTGAATCTGCTCATTATCCAAATATGTTTTGCTTCCGAAATTACAAAATATAACTGATTGCTCAGGGAATTTACCCAACCATGTTTCCCATTTTTCTTCTAGTTTACCAGAAGGTGGTGGAGGAACAGCTGATCCTGCTAAAAGAATTGGTTTTCCTATCTGGGTTTTCAAGTAATCTATGTACAGACCTTCTATTTCAGTGCAGGTTTTGTAGATTATAGCATCACATGATTTTATGAAGCTCATTATTTTATTGAAACCGGAAGGTAAGCCATTGAAGCTTTTGAAAAGGTATAGGAAGTCTCGAGCTTGGAAGGTTTTTATTGATGTGATTGAGGTTTTTGGGAACCCTGGAGGAGGGACCTTTAAGTCATTAACAGTGGGTTGTTTGTTTGGATCATTGATTTTTGCTGGGATAGTTAGATATAAATTTGCAACGGCCGAGAATACACTGTAATTAACATCCTTGATTCCTAATTCATAAGCAATTGAGGGAATCCAGTAGTGTGCAAAATCAAAGAGGATAATGTGGGGTTGAAGATGAGATAAAAGGGTTCTGACTTGTGGTTGCATTTTATCATGTGGTACTTGGAGGAGCTCACCAGTTTCTGGTGTTATGTCAGAGCTGTTGTCAAAGTTAGATGACAGTCCTTCAGTTGGGGGGATAGTGAGGGGGATGACTTGATTGAGAGGTTTGTTATTAAGGGAGGATTCGATGCGAGCGACGTATCCGGGTATGGTATTAAATCATCTATTCTGGAAATAAAGAGAGATGATTTACCCTATAGTATTTTACAGGACCTAGGACTTCACACAATCAGACCAAGCAAAGTAAAAATTCAGCTCATATCAGTTTAGGTTTAGAGCACAGCTATCAGCCCTGACTTTATATTCACCTGACTGACCCAAGACTGAGTCAAAGGTAATACAAATAACACAATTACATAGAATTATTAATAAAAGCACTTGAGCACATAAAGAGCATGCATATCACTTGAGCACCTGTGCACAGAAAAGCACAGAAAAAGCACCTGAGCACCTGATTGCATAAAATCATGTTATTTGTCAGAAAGAGCAATGCAATGCAAATTTCAGTATACATCTTGCAAAAACTCTGAGGCAAATTGATCTTTTATCATGGAGTGCAAAGATAAAAGTTAATTGAAATTATGTCAATAGTAGAAACTACCTCAGTGAAGCCGACACAACTCGCCTGCTGCCCGAGCACCAAGATACCACACAGCTCAAAACTGTCAAATGTAAATACTGTCACTATTATATCAAACCTCAAATAAATTTAACAATTTAAATAAAGGTTAGAGTAAATTCTGTGACACAACACTAAATTTAACAATTAACTTATAAATTTCATAAGAAAACAAGTTCAAACAGAACAATAGAACACTTCAATAATAGTTTGTCAAATCCAAATAATAAGTTCAAACGAAGGACAATTATTATAAAAAAAAATAAAATAAAAAAAAACGATCTAAACATCCATGTCACTTTGACGGTTCCATCCAATCCCAATCAGTGTCATCTATATCGGAACTTTCTTCGTGATTATGATCTCTCATTTCACAGTCAACAGGCACCTCAACTCTGTCATAAGCAGCTTCTCTACACCAACTTTGGTGTTCATCATTATCTGTAGCCAGAATTACATCCTCTGCGGGTTCACGAACTTCTTTCATATATGTGTGTTCAGATTGCCCCTTGGCGTAAAAAAAGTCTCTTGGCAAATTTCTGTGCACATAATGCCAATCGTCTTCAAGGCCGTCTTGAGTGTAGAACACTTGATGCACTTGTGATGCCAAGACAAAAGGATCATCTTTAGAACACAATTTAATTTCTTAAAGTTAACCCGAGTGAGTCCATAATCATCTACTTCCACATGGAACCAATCACACTCAAACAAAACAACACTAAATGCACTCCAATAATCGACCTCAATTATCGATTTTATAGCCCCATAACATGCACTACTACAAAAACACCCTACGGAGTCGCCCTTTTAGAGTCGCCTCAAATTGATATGTGATACGTAAGGTTTTAGAGTCGCTTCATACAAAGCATGTGACACATAAAAGGCATCTAAAAATAAATTGAAAGTCATAAACGTCACCTACACTATAATAGACGACACGCAACCTATACGCATCCCGTCTTTCATCATGTGTGATTCATAAAGTATTACTTTACGAGTCGCCTATAGTCTTGTATTATTACAGGCGACAACTTTGCCCATTTTTTATTGACAGCGAGCAAAAACCCTAGAAACCTCATTCATTCCCTTATCTTTTTTGTCCCTCTCTCATCGGCCTCATTCATTCCCTTAGTCTTTTTGTTCCTTCCTCTCTTCGCCTCTTACCTTACTCCTCCATACTCAACATTGTTCGCGACACTCTCATCTCCATCTTCTTCCTAGAGTCTCTACTCTCCAACATTCAAGATCTGCTCAAGATCTGAATATTTCCCCCATTTCATCACCAAACTCACTTCAATTACGGCTCAAAAACCTAACATTTTCCCCAAAAGTTCATCAACAATTTCCAGATTCTGCACATTTGTAGCGAATCAATCTTCATCTTCAATCAATCAGACAAATTGATAAGATAAGCAATCATCAATGGGAACAACGACATTGATAGTAGGATTAATCAGAAAGCTAAAGAAGGTTCTAGAATCTCGACTCGATTCTCCGGAACTTGTCACTTCTCTCTCCACACTTAATACATTCTACTCTGACAACTCTCCTCAGGCGCGTCGTAACCTCGGATCTACCATTAAGAAGCGCATCTTTTGGTCAATCATGACTTTCTCAGCGCTTCCGATGCGTCGCAGCAGGTCCGTTCTTTGTCAATTTCTCTCAATTAGGGATTGTGATGTTGTTTGTATGAGATTATGAAGATTAATTGTTGGTTTTTTTTTTTATTGATTTTTTAGGCATTAGATCAATTTGAAGAGGAGGTTAATGCACTTGCAGAATGTTGTGATAGGTAATTATAGCATATATTGTTCAATTTTGGCGTACAAATTGCTATGGTTTTCGATGACGTTATGGGGTCAAACACGGGTTTTATATGATGTGATGGTTAATAAGTTGTTTTTGTTGAATTAGAATTGTTATGACTATTGGAAATAGTGCACGAAATTGATTCATATCATTAGAATTGTTATGAATATTGGAAATGACAATATACTCTTAGGAAAGTATTTTGATTTAGTATATGTGAAGGAGTATCTCTTTGTTCCTTGAAGTAGTATATTCTGCAAACATTGTCTTAGAAATTGCCTCATATAGTTGTATGATGTATGCTTATGTTTTTTTAATGATGCTTGGCATGAAGGAATTCAAGTTTTCAACCTTGAATACTTGATCTAGAAGATCATGCTCTCTAGGGTCTCTATATGGGCAAAGGCTGCTTAATTTTTTTAATTGTCTTGAATAGATAAAGTGACAAACACTTCGTATAGAAGATTATGCTCTCTATGGTTTATTTTTTAATTATCTATGTCGCAAGAAAACTACAATTTTTTTGTGGCTTGTGACTAGTGATAAGCCTGCTTCATTGTACATTACTCTATTTTGACATTAAAATGAAGCTTAATTCTGCAGTGTTATGACAGCTTATTGTGACTACAATGTAGAGAATATGAGTCCTAATTTTGTATGGTGATAGCTATGCTTTTATTCCTCCATAAAGATGAAAATTCATGGCTTTTTACCTTAAAGTGATTGTTGTTATTGATCATAAAATGCTAAGATTGGATATATACTAATTTGACTTGTTTCTAAGATGCCTAATGTTTCTCTTTAATGCTATGTTTGGATAACAAATTAGAAGGGAAATGAAAGGGAGGGAAATAGGAGGAAGGGAAAGTGGAGGAAATAATGAGCTCCATTTTCCCTCCAAATCTCTCCAATTTTGAAGGGATGGTCTTTATTAAAGGAGGAGGGAAAATGAATCCCTCCCTCCCCCTCCCCCTCCCCCTCCCCCTCCCCCTCCCCTTCCCTCCCCCAACATATTATCCAAACAAGGAAGTTTGTCTCCCTCCCTTTCCCTTCCCTTCCTTTCCTTCTATTTTTTGTTATCCAAACATAGCCTAAAGGTTGAGGATGTTAGTTTGAAATTCAAAGAGATGCATGAAAACATGGATCTTGCACTTTTGCCTGGATCATATGAGAATCTCATAAAAAACTGTCTTGACTCCACTAAGGTACACACAAACCATAGAGTACTGAGATGGTTCTTCTTATAGTTATATTTGTCTTGATGCACTCAATGCCATATGTCATGCTTGTGAGGAGAGCTGTGAATTTATATTAGTATGCTTTGTTTCAAGTCGTAGTTCTTATGCTAGCTATGGTCATTTCATTTAATTCATTCTTAAGTTTATGTGAAGTAATGTAATGGTTGGATCTCGTAATGATATTGTTGTAGTACAGAGAGGTTTTTGTGATGCTGACCTTATCATTTTGATTGTTAAACTCATGGTGAAATGTAGTGTGGAAGCATGTTATAATGTTTGGAGGATCATCTGTGGGTTTTAAAGATTGTTTTTGGTAATTTAAAGCACTGCTATGATTGTATCTTAAATGCCATTACTTTATTTATTTGTTTAGGAGTAATAAAGTCTTATCATTAAAGGTATAATGGGTACAATTCTCCCTACAGTCGTTAGTGCATGATGGTCAAGGCTTATTGTCACTTGTCTTTTTAATTATATGTTGTCTATGTTTATGTTTATATTTCTAATGTTATTTTTATAGAAGTTTTGCCATAAATGTTTTCAAAAGCCTATTAGCTCAAATGGTAGAGCAATGTGCTATTGCACATAGATGTAGGTTCAAGTCCTACATAGGTTTTAATTATACTAGCAAGTGTGAATTCAATGAGGAAAAAGAAAAAAAAAATTGTATTTTGGGTATCGCTATTGAAGAATTATACTTTTCAAAAAATCACTTTACGCATCGCCTCATAAAAAGCAGGGGACTCATAAAATATACCTAACGCGTCGCCTATAATGAAAAAGGTGACTCATAAACCAACCTAACGCGTCACTTGTAATGAAAAATGCGACTCATAAACCAACTTAACGCGTCACCTGTAATGAAAAAGGTGACTCATAAACCAACCTAATGCGTCACCTATAATGAAATAGGCGACTCATAAACCAACCTAACGCGTCAGGCCATAGGCGACACGTGTGGGGGGTACCTATTGTGTCGATGCCTGTAGTGTCGCCCTTGAAGCGATGTGTAAGATGGTTTAGAGGCGACTCGATAGGGGTTTTTTGTAGTAGTGATGTGACATTACCAAGAACAGGATTGTGATCCTTGCTACTTGCGAAGCTTGGAGTCAAAGCGGTTAAAGAGACTCCGCTATTTTGAGTTTTACACCTTTCATCACGATCTCTAGTGTAGAACTTATATCCATTACAAAAATATCCGGTGTACCTCCTTGCAATAGTAGAAGGACCTTTTGATAGCCACTTAATATGATTTGGGACATTATCCACCACAACCTTTTATCTAAACCAAACCATAAAGTCATTTCTATGCTCTTGTGCCTCTTTCCACCTTCTTTTTCGTTTGTCTCTAGACTTCTTCTTCAAAAACTCTTCATGTTCCCTTCATAGTATTAGCCATATAAGTAAGGTAATAAAACAATATAAATTTAAACACAATGGATAAGATATTGAAAAATTAGTCACTTAATGTAATTCTCAACTTGGTCATCTTGACAATTAAACAACAAATAACGATGTGCTAGAGCCATTGTGTTTGAATCAAGAGTGTATGCCTTCCCCTTTCTTCTTTCCTTTCTTTTTCCTTCCAAGAGGATAACCCGCCTTAGGGAATAAAGGTGATTCTTCATCAATTTCATCATTTTCTCTTGACTTTTGTTAAACATCTTAGATCGCTTCTTTACACTAGCATTCAAATACCTAGAGCAAAATATCAAGCACTCTTCAGTCAAATAACCTTCTGCTATAGAAGCCTCGGGGCGACATCGGTTTTTAACATATGATTTTAACTTTCCGAGGTACCTTTCTATAGGGTACATCCACCAATCACACACCTGTCCACTAGGCTTGATTTCATCAACCAAATGAATCGGTAAGTGGATCATTATGTCAAAAAAAGAAGGTGGATATATTCTTTCTAGTTCGCAAAGAGTCTCAACAATTCCTGCTTGAAGGCGATCCAATTATTTTGGATTGATGACTCTCTTGCATATTTCCCTAAAAAAGCCACTCAATCTCATAAAAGGTAAAGCAATATGCTTTGGTAAAGTTTTCCTAATTGCTGGCGGAAGCAAGTGTTGCATTATTATATGAGCATCATGACTCTTGTACCCTGATATTTTCCCCTCCTTGACTTGTACACACCTTGCAATATTTGATGCACAACCTTGGGGCATCTTTGCCTTCTTCAAAACACTACAAAATATGCTTTTCTCTTCCTTCGTCATTGAGAATGATGCTTTGGGCAAAAAAACATATCACTCGTCATCTACATCCACAGGATGTAGTTCTCCCCTTATACCCATTTCTTGCAAATCTAATCGAGCCTTATGATGATCTTTTGACTTTCCAGGTATGTCTAACAAAGTTGCGAGCACATTATCACAAACGTTTTTTTCAATGTACATGACATCTAAATGATGACGACACCCACAATCTTTCCAATAAGGCAAAGTGTGGAAGACAGAGGAATTTCTCCAAGGACAATCTACATATTTCTTCTTTGGTTGTAACTTTCCAAACTTGTTTTCCCAGTTTTCCAACAAGCTTGAAATTTGATCCCCTGTTAAAGGATCTGGAGTTGTCCTATCTTCCTTTTCCCCATTAAAAGACATCATATCATGCCGCCAAGGATGATTTTCATCTAACCATCGACGATGAGCCCAATAACAGGATTTTTTACTATTACTCAAGTGATGATGATCAGTCTCGTAGTGACAATAAGGGCATGCAAACTATCCTTTGGTGCTCCAACCCGATAACAAAGCATAACCTGGAAAGTCGTTGGTCGTTGATTGTAAAGCTGCATGCATCTTAAATGTTTAACGTTTCTCCGCATCATAGGTGTCCAACCCATACTCCCACAAATCTTTGAGTTCTTGAACCAATGGTTGAAGATAGACATCAATGTCATTTCCAGGAGAGGTGGGCCCGGGAATAAGGAGAGATAGCATTAAGAATTTTGGCTTCATGCACAACCATGGTGGTAAGTTATAATTAATTAGAACAACAGGCTATGTACTATGTTGTGTGCTTATAGTTCGAAATGGATTGAATTTGTCACTTGCGAGGCCCAAACAAACATTACGTGCCTCATTAGAAAAATCTGGGTACTTTTGGTCAAACTCTTTTCATGCCTCACCATCTGCAGGATGCCTTAATAACTCATCCTTATTTCTTTCTTCATCGTGCCACCTCATTAGCTTTTCTGTTTTTGAACACATGTACAACCTTTGAAGCCTTGGTTTAAGAGGAAAATGCCAAAGAACTTTTTCAGGTACTTAATGCACTTTCTTAGATGGTTGATTGCTAATATCTTCTTGGGATTCAGTCTGTGTTTCTTTCCACCTTGGATCATGACAAACATAGCAAGACGTGCGTGGCAGCTTCATGCTCCTTCCAATAAAGCATACAATCATTACGACATGCATCAATCTTGTCATAATGAAGACCCATATCTTTTATCAATTTCTTTGCCTCATTAAATGAGTTGGCAAATTGGATGCATCTGGTAACACTTCTCGAAAAAGCTCTAAAAACTCTGAAATTGCTATATTAGTTAACCCGTGAGTACACTTCAAAAGGTAAAAACGAATAAGAAATGATAGCTTTGAAATTTTTTTGCACCCAGGATATAACTCTTGTTTTCCATCTTCAACTAACTTATAAAACTTCTTAGCCTCATCATTGGGCTCATCTCCAACACCTTCATACCTTTCTGCCACATCTCTATGAACATCATATATCAGACGTTCAATATCGTCATGCATGTCTTCAACATCCTTTTTAGTATTTGATGTTGTTGACATGCCCTTTTCATAGCAATGCCATCCTTCAGGGCCAGGCTCGATCCCGTTTGCAATCAAATGATTGAACACTGTCTCTCTACGATGCCAAAAGCGGTGATAGCACGCCTTACACGAGCAAGTAATTTGATCTCCAATTTCTCGTGTAGAGAACGCTTTATCTAAATAATCCTCTACACCTTTCTCATACTCATGACTAGATTGTAAGAAGTTGGTCCAACTACTCATTTCGTCTCCTTTATCAAAATTTAAACATAGTGAATTTAAAGATTTAAAATATATATTGGCATATAATTTTAACATTTCTAAAAGGAATGACAATATCCATGGAAATAAAACACCCTTTTGAAGATTTTAATCTAATAACTTTTAAAGGATTTAGGTTCTGGGTTTGCCTATTCACTTAGACTTTTTTTTGGCTTGTCATAGTTATTTCTATCCTCTTGGTGATAATTTTCTTTGAAATAGAAAAATAAAACACTTTAATAATAGTTCGTCAAATCCAAATAATGAGTTTCTCACCCATTATCACATTACCACATACTATGATGTATGCAATGAAAGATTTAGGAAAAAAAATGACGTAAAGAGGTTCAAAAGTTCTGCACACTATCTACATGAAAAAAAAAACTCAGTTCATACTTAAGAAAACTGCAATATACTCTAGTTCAATGCTTGCTCTTCTTCTTGCAATTATCCATTCATCTCGTTGATTTCACATTCTGATCACCCCTATATACAGATCAACTCTATATATATACAAGGGGGAGAGCAACTTTTTCTGAGAAAAGTAGACAAACCCATCACCACTGCCTACTTATCCCGAATATTCAATTTCTGCACTAAATCCTATGACTTCAACTTTTATTCTACTACTAAGAATTAGCAAACCACTAAGATTTAAGTTTATCAATATTCAACACCTATGCTTCTCAGAACAGTCAAAGAAACATTGTTGAAATTCAAAACAAGTTCTTACCTAGCATAGTAAACAGTAGGAGACACAGCTCTAACTCTCACAATCAAAATTTCAGCTATATAAAATTAACAATTGCACATTTACGTATCCTAGAAAGTCAATTAATCATAAAATGGTGTTCATAATATTACACCTCTGAGTGGCAGCTGGACACTCCCAACTACAAATTAGAATACAATTCACTCAACAATCATTTTCATTGATTTCTTACTCTCTTATCTCCTTTGTGTATAGACCAAATAATTCCCTAAATGATACTCTCTTCTTTCTCAAGCTATCCCATAACAGAATTACAGAGTCATGAACTCTAAAAGAATTACAGAATTACAGAGTCAGCAACTACAATGTCCTCTACGACTTGCATGAACTCTAAAGAAAAAAAAAAGCCAATAGCACACAATTAAAATTCAAAATCACAAACCAAACTTGAAATACCCAAATCAAAAAATTCAATTAAAAATTAAAATTAGAACCACATCAAACACAAAGCCAATAACCATTCACAATTCAATCGGAAAATAAACGCTTTCATTCATACATTATTGAAAATTAAAGGTTAAATAACCAATAAATTAGAAAACCATCCATCACAAATCATAAAGTACCTGAAATTAGAAGCACGAATACAATGAAACCCAATATCACGATGAAATTGCTCGAGATGACTTGATTTCAGATGAAATTGCGCGAGACGAACAAATTATCTAATGAAATTATGGAGATGAAATTACGGATTTTTGCGGAGATGAAATTATAGACTAATCTTCTGATGAAATTATGGAGATGAAATTACAGATTTTTGCTTAAACCTAATCGTTGTTGAATTGGGAATGAAGATGAAGTAAAATTCTGAGAGATTGCAATATACTTTTCTTCTTGTTTTTGGCGGTTTTGGCCCAAATATTCTTTTAACTTTGGCGGCTAATTGGCTATTTTAATGAATTGGTATAAATTTGGGGATTAACACAATAACACTTGTATTTTTTTTTATTTAAATGTTTTATTTATTTTGTTTTTCCAAAAAATAAGGTAACATCTATATTTGTGTTACCATAAAATGCTACCTATTTTAAAAGTGATACTTTAAAATGTTACCTATGTTAAAAGTGCTACATTAAGTGATACAATTTAATAGAGTGTTACCAAAGTGTTACTTATAAATCTAATATTTTGCATTTTAAGAAGTGTTACCAATCATGTGCTACATAAACTCAATTATGCACTAGTGGCAGGACACCATTTCTCTTTGAACTCGTACACTCTTTGGTACCAAGAGTGTGCTGTCAACTCATATTTCTGCATCATTGCCTGCCATTTTGCTTTAAATTCTTGTTCTGTCACACACATCTTTAAGCACTGGTTGAATGCATACTTGAATTCTTTGTCTTTTTTAAGTGCTCCAAATCTAGTTATGGCATTTTGTTCCAAATGCCAGATACAAAGTCTATGTCTTGTATTAGGAAGCACTTACATTGAAAATAAAGGGGTCACTTTATGCTGTTAAAAGGGTCACTTTATGCAGTTAAAAGGGTAACTTTATGCAATTAAAAGGGTAAATTTATGGGAAAAAGGAAAACATTGTTGTCAGAGTTTAAAATCTATAAAATGTCAATATAAATCTTTTACCTGCTCAATTGCATTTGCCATTGCTTGGTCCTGGTCAGTGAATATTGAAGTTGGTGTTCTATTCTCCATAGCTTTCAAGAAAGTTTCTAGTAGCCACACAAATGAATTTGTTTTTTCGTCCCCAATAAAAGCACATGTAAACATACAATTATGCCAATGATTATTTATGCCAACAAATGGAGCACATATAAGATTATATCTGTTGGTTCTGTATGTTGTATCAAAGACAAGCACATCTCCATATATCCTATAGTCTTCTAGCATCATTGAATCTCTCCAAAAGATATTGGAAATTCTTCCTTCATTGTCAAACTTCACTCTAAAAAAGAAGTTTGGATCCTCTAAGTATTCCTGATTTAAAATGTTCACTAAAGTTTGAGCATCTCCAGCCTCAATTTGTTCCATTCTTAACCTTGAGCAGAAATTCAGGTGATCTACAACACTATGACCTACATTCTGTTCTCCTCCAGCCTTTGTAGTCATGTAATTGTAAGTGTCCATTGTAGTTAGACCTGAAGATTTCATTGTTTTGATTGCTTCAGCTTTTTCTTCTGTCATTTTCCTTTCAGAACGATGCAAATAATGCCACTGTGACCTTGTTAGATCATGGTTATGCTGAATAACATGAGCCACTACCTCAAACTTTCCTTCTTTATTCACTTTTTCTCTTATGCATGCCTTGCAATTCGATCTTGTAATGGCTACTTGTCTTGACTTTCTTGTTTTTACATTCACATCCTCTTCATCAACCATTTCAACTAACTTTGTTTTCTTGTCACATGAATTTCTCTTTCCTTCAGCAGAACACACATAATGTTTCTCAGTTACTATTTTTGTGTGTGTCTTGTATCTAGTTGTATGCTTTCTTATTGAAAACCTCAGTATAGCAGCATATTTTTCATACGATTCCAAAATTTCTTCAAAATTTTCTCTTACCACACTAAGAAATGAACCTCCAAGATCTAAACCAGAAGCATGAATTGGATTTGTATATGTTATTTAATATAGACATATGAGATAATAACCAGAGGCAGCATATCATTCAAATTGGAGGCAACAAAAGGGTAACATTTGTTCGAAAATAGGGCCACTTTTATGCATGAAAAGGGTAACATTAAGGCATACAAAGGGTTACTTTTTGCATACAATCTGAATTTTCTGCATATAATCTTAGCCTCTTAGGGTAACATTTGTGCATAAATAGGGTCACTTTTATGCATGAAAAGGGTAACTTTAAGGCATACAAAGGGTTACTTTTTGCATACAATTTGAATTTTCTGCATACAATCTTAAGGTAACATTTGTGTAAGGAGGGTGATCCTCATCGTAAGGGGTACTATCCTTAAATGCCCTTGGCCACTTAAAAGCCTTGGACTTTACACTTGTTAAGGTGTAGTAGGATTTGAATTCCTTACTGTTTGGGGGACCTTGAATTAGAATTGATTCTATCATCACACTTTTTTTGTAAGAAACAAGTAGGAGTCGCCAATGAGTTTTAGGAAAACTCATAAACCTCGCCTTTCTTCCATGTGGAGTTCATGGAATAATTAGCACAAATCATAAGTTTACCCATGCCCAAATTGGTCTATAAACCAGAAATGAGTTCGGGAGCAAGGGTACTAAGATAACGTTCCTTTTAGAGGGGAATCGTCATCCTAGCCCTAGTACGACCTCTAATAGCTCTTCCTTTTTCACAATTTCATCACCAAACAATATATGCAACGTGATACCTAAAACTATGTTAGTTGATTTTATTTACAAGCATTAATTCACGTAGGAATTACATTGCAAAGTCGTTATTATTATTTAATTAGATTCATGGAAGAACAATAAATAAACAAGATTCGCCTTGGCTTATATGATCAACCAACAATTATTTAATTCAATTGTAGTCTTTATTTAACGTAAGATACTATATGGAATTGATTAATTAATTATTTTAAAGGTGATCAAACAACACTAATTAATTTATTAAAGTCCTTTTAAACAAGAAAATAAAGGTGATTTAACTAAGTGCTCGGGAATTTACCACTTCTCTTTGCTAGATCTCTGTTTAGAACACTTATGGACACCTTCTTGTTAGGGAACCTCCACCGTAGTAATAAAGTATTGAAAGGATGAGTGTTTAGGACAAAAGGGCTAGGTTTCACAAGTTCACAAGTTATTTTGCCAAAGTTTTTAGGTTAATTTCTGTCTGTTGAAGCCTCGGTTTAAGCTCGTATTTATAGAGAAGGATTAGGTTTAGGGTTTCAAGCTTTCTGCAGCAGCAGATGTCGCGCGCAACAGATGAAGTTGTGCGCGGCAACCCTGCGCAAGTTATAGAGTTGCGCTGCTATGTGCAGCGCAACTATTGTTCTTGCGTGCGGCTTTATGGTAAGATTTGATTTTATATTTTCCGTATAATTTTCGAATAATTACAAATCTTTCGCAGCGCAACTCTGGAAGTTGCGCTGGGTGTCGCGCGCAACCGAATTAGTTGCGCGTGGCAGCCCAGCGCGACTTTGTGAGATGCGCGCGACTTTTTCTACGGCAACACTAAGTTTTAACCTAGGCGCTCCTAAATCCGTCATTATTAGGATTTAAGCACGGGCTTAAGCCTAATTATGACCGGGTTTAGTTAATTGGACCTTTGTTTTGGCTTTTCTTTGATTTGGGCTAGTCTTTTGTGTTTTGTGGCTTAACCAGTTATCCATAAGTATTCTTCACTTTGATCCAACACGAAGCTGACTTTATTTATCGTCATTGCACTTCCTGTCGGGACAGGAGGCCAAAAGTAGATGTCTACAATTTGTGCATAAATAGGGTCACGTTTATGCATGAAAAGGGTAACATTTATGCATTCAAAGGGTTACTTTTTGCATACAATCTCAAAAGTTTATAGAATTTACCTTCAGTTGCATTTGATTTGGTTGTTTGTTCTGAATTTGAATCAATTGATTTACCAGGAACCACTTGATTTTCTGCATTGTTAATTGCTTCTTTTGCATTGTCAATTGCTTCTTCTGCATCGTTTCCATTGCCTGTGTTGTTGTTATAGTCAAATATTGGTACGAATTCATCTAAAACTCTTAGTTTCTTCTTCTTCTATAATCGATCGATTTAAATCGATTTCAAATTCAGTTTCAATTTGCCTCTGTTTTTGTAGCAATTCGTGAATGAGATTGCTGCAATTTATGGTATCAAAAGTCGAATTCTCCATTGACGATCGAATTGATGATCCAATTCTACAATTTGTGTGTTTTGATCGAATTCTGCAATATCTTTTTCTTCAATTGATGATCAAATTCTGCACTTTGTGAGTTTTCTCACTTTCTCTCTCCTCAATTGATGATCGTATTATGCGTTTTCTCACTTTCTCTCTCCTCAATTGATGATATGCGTTTTCTCACTTTCTCTCTCCTTCATTATTGTTCTGCGTTTTTTTTTTGGTTTTGAGGTATTAAATTCCGCAAGTTTTATTACTTTTAAAAAAAATGCAGAAAATGTGTGGCACGTGCGGGGGTTTCGATTTACAATAAATATATTGTAAACCCAAAAACTTTTGTATACATCTGGTTTACACTAATATTAGTGTAAATCGAGCAGTATAGGGGTAACTTTAAGCCAATTTAGGATAACTTTTTGCCTTTTTTTGGGTAACTTTGAACATAATATGATTTTATTTTTATAAATCGAACAAGAAAAGTTTTATAAGGGTGATAAAATTACTTTCAATCACTAATAATTGAATTTTAGTCATTTAAAATGTGATTCTTTACCAATAAAACGTAGATTATTTTTATTTGTATTGGTTTACTTTTATACATATTAGGGTAACTTTTATTCATTTTAGGGGTAACTTTTGATCACTTTAAGAGAGATTTAAAATGAATGTACAATAATTATTGTACACCCGATTTTATTAAAAGTTTGTATTGTAAACCGGGTGCATGCAAATGAGATTGTAATAACGATTAATGGATATCAATTTATCTAATTAAAGTGATGAACTTATCAAAGTACTACCTTCAAAATAAAAAATAAATAAATAAAAAATAAAAAAAACAAAAAAAAATAATAAAAAAAAACAAACTCACTCCGTATCAAAGTACTGTATAAAATATGCTGAACTAAACAGTACAAAATTGTTACTAATAAAAATTCAACTGTCAGAGCAAGTGGGACCCTATGAAAGTACTCAAACAGCTAATCACTACTCTCCACGTGTTCGGTGAGATTGAATTTAGGTACCAATCTTAAAAGACAAAATTACACTAATTAAAAAAAAAACCAAAATTAAGTTAAAAATAAATAAAATTAAAAACCTCTTACAGCAGCAAACTCATTCTTACACTGTTCAGTTGGATGAGAGAGAAAGAGAAAAAGAGTGAGTGAATAAGTGAGAGAGAGACAAGGTTTTCTTGTTACCTTCAGCAGAATCAAAGCATCTCTTCATTTCAAGGAGAAGTCACAACACTTCAATTATCACTTTCACATTTGTT